TTTACCTCCACAATCCAAAACAAATGCACTTATTTTAAGAAACAATGACTAGATTTAGATTTTTTCCAGTGTGGCCCTTCCCGTCAAATGCCAGCCTAATGGCAGACCACTTCCCTGCAACTCCCAGCAAAATCCCCTCCAACGTCCATTCACTGGAGTGACCCATCCATTCTCATCAATTTTCGGGTCGCGAGGGGTGCTGGTGTCTATCTCCAGCTGTTTACGGGCAAGAGGCGGGGTAGACCCTGGACAGGTCACCAGTCCATCACAGGGCAACACTGAGACAAACAGGACAATCAACCATTCACGCACACACCTAAGGAGAATCTAGAGAAGTCAATTGACCTAACAGTCATGTTTTTGGACTGTGGGAGGAAGCCGGAGTACCCGGAGAGAACCAACGCATGCTCAGGGAGAACATGCAAACTCCATGCAGAAAGACCCCAGAACCTTCTTGCATATTGTTTTACTCTGACTCCAGCCTTTCACTGAATTACAGGGTCTGAACAGGAGAAGGCACTTCTCTTTAGATTTTAATGTCCTAAAATCATGACATAAAGAATATTTTGATACAAAGATTGATGTTTAAAAAGGAATTGTAGGTGGTGAGCAAATGACCAGCCAAGGGCCAATCAAGATAGTCAGGAACTTTTGAGTGGCTATTACTATACAGTGTACTAGTTTATCAGTCTGATAGCTGAATGATTAAGCTGGCACAACCATCATCTTTTTTAGAAATATTCTCCAAGCATCTCTTTTAAATTTAGGATGTATTTTTTAAAAGAGTGTGATTAAAAAGAAGCAATATTTTTTTTCCAAATAGACACGTAGTGAGATTACATGCTGGCTTAACTAGAGCCGAGTCCAGGCTTTTAGTCAGAGAAAAGGGAGGATGTCAGCATTAGATGATTAGATGGAGGAAGTGAAAGACTGAAGGAGTTATAAACAGATTAATGACATGGAAGGTTGCAGTGGGCAGCCTCACTTCTCTCAATTAGAGCTAAGTCATCAGTAGTTATTAGGCTGCACAGTAATTGATTGTGATAGGGAGCTAAGCTAATGCAGTCCTTGAGTTGTAATTGGTATCAGAGAGAACGGTGTTTTCACTTCGGTCTGCAACATCTTCTTCCCCCATGGGGCCTGACTGGTTCTGTCCTAATGCTCCCTTACATTGAAAACTCATTTCCTGATACATGAAAGGATCCTGACATATTATAAAGAATACAATAGCTTCCTTCTATTTTGTTTTGAAGAATAATATAGAAGAAATATAACCATTATCTGCTGTTTTCAAAATAGAGTTTGGAAGGGAAATTTACTGAATATTGTCGGGAAGATGATTTCAACTCAACAAACTTGCAAATACAGCTTTGAGAGTGTTACTCTCTCACTCATGTCTGACTTATTTCCCAGTACCTGCAGCTTTGAAGCATCTACAGAAAAACCATTGCTGGCACGACGTTTCCCCACAGGGCTGGTGTAGCCAGGTGATGGGCTGTAGCTGGCTCTCAACAGATACAGCAATTGGCATTCAGGCCAAAGCATTCAATTCTCGTCTCATCAATCCAGAGAATCTTTTTCCTTGGTGCTTTTAGAACGCTGTAAGTGTTACTTGGCAGACTGCAGCCGGGCTCTCATGCGGCTTTTTCACAGGAATGGCTTGAGATTCTGACCAGCCTCCCATAAAGGCTGTATAATGGAGTACTACAGAGAGAGATGTTCTTCCTGAATCCTCCTCTCTCTCTTTTCAAAGTTTATATCTGTTCAGTTATTTAACTTCCTGGAAAAGGATCTTTTGGTGCTTCAAGTAATGGAAGCCATCTATCCATCATTCCTTTAAGCCCTACTTCCCCAGCAGATAATTTGTTAAGCAGAGTTTTTTTTTTTCCAAAAAGCCTTTATGTTTTATTTGATAGGTCTGCTACTTTATCATATCTTATTGGTTCATTAGATCTCATTGAAAAACAATATAGTTGGGAGTAATCTTATCAGTTAGGTGAATTTTTTTAGTCTTTGCATGTTTTGGCATCTTTGTTTACAGTATGGCAAGCTGAAAACAGTCCCTGTGTGTGGAAAAAAATCTGTTCAACCTTCATGCAGCTTCTTTTCTCGCAGTTAAACCACTTATATTAAAGGAATAGTGGAGGATTTTTGCAGATTTCTGAAAAGACCCACCCTCTCCACTTTAAAAAAACAATTGCACAACCTTGTTCACAAGAGTGAACACTTATTAAACGCGGACGAGTTTAAAAGTGCTGTTTAAAAGTCGCTGTTTGCATCGCTGATACAAACTTACTTTCCGAAAATTATTTGCAATTTCTCCACCATGTCAGACTCACGTAGGATGGCCTTTCATAAACATATCACCAGAATGATTGACAGTTAGGAGGACCACTTATTTTTGATGATCCACCCAGAAAAAGAACATCTTCCACTATACCTTTTAATGCCAACCAGTAGCTGTAACCATTTCCTCACCTATAAAGTTAAAGACACATCTACTCCATTTTGAATTGTATGTTCTCCTGGTTTTCTGATTTTAAGGAGTGACTTCAGTGCTTTGGCTACACCCTTGCGAGTCACAGGTCACTATTCTGGTGTTTCTTGACACTCTTGAACAACCTGAAATAATAAAGCAAACATTTGAATGGATGTACAAGTTACAGTAACTGTTAGGGATGCCAGTAAAGGAAGATTTATTCTTAATGTATGCATGTTCTGCACAGAAATGCAATGCACAGACACAACGCCTGCAGCTTTAATACACCCTGTGGTTTTTCTAGTTCGTCCTAGTACTTATGCAGAATCCAGAGGTGTTTGTATGGTACATGCTGCAAGCTTGCAGCGCCACACTGCATGATCATTTAGAGAATACAAATGTAAGTACAAGTACAAAATCTAAATTATTTATTAAATTAAAACATTTATATTAATCTTTTGTTCCCATGTAGCCCCTGATATGTTGACGTTCTCATTCAGCCAATTTATCTGGAAATCAGCTCACAGTTCACACTCAAACTATGTGTATTCTCTCTGATTGCAGCTTGATCTGATCCAAGATGGCCGCTCTCTCACAGAGGTCTATCAGTGTCTATGTCTGCTTGACAAAGAATTTGCTAATCGCAGACTGTATTTTATAGAATCTGTGTTTATGTTGTCATATTTCTGTACAGGTCTGATTATGCCTCACAATGCAGGTTTTATGCATGTGCTGTGCTCCAAATAGGGCGCAGGTCACTGAGGAGGAGATTCAGTGGTGAAATAGAAAAAAAATAACGAGTCAATTTGAGAAGATGAAGGTAAAGAGGCCTTACTGGTTGGAGCAGTAATGAAGCCATTAGGAGTGGGAAAGAATAGCTCTGAATGAAGCTTCCAGCTGAATGGGTGTGTTAGAAAGTAGACAGGTGTGCCTTGGCAGGCAATGTCAAAGCAGCTTTTAATGAGAAAAAACAAGACAATTCTGCAGTTAGGTGGTTTGTTCTCAAGAAAAGCATCAAAGATACTCAGGAAGCTCTAAGTGATCCAGGTGACCACATGGGTCAAACTCGGCAATGAGAAACTGGCTGATAATAAAGTCCAGATGATGAGAAGATGGGTGGCAGGTGTGAAGGAAGCACACCTGCAGTTATCTGGTCATGACAGCAACTCTGACAACCCATTTATTCCTCAAGGGTACACACATGAATATGACTTGTGTTTGTATGTTCACATGGATGTAGCATTAGCGACATTAGCCAAGGTTTGTTTACCATCATTTCCCAGTCTACGTAAAACGTTACACAAGATTTTGCTGCCATGATCTAGATTCATCCAGTAGCTTCACATCTATGGTATACAGACATGAATAGAGAGAAATCTGGACATTCCCATGCTTCAAAGAATTGTTGACCTCTAGTCATCTGAATATCGTACCAAACGAGGAACTGTTTTAAAGGAAGTTCAAAGTTTTCTACCTGATATCTTGGCTGATTTCTTATTAATCTGATGTAATGTTGATGTCACGGTTGGGTGGAGGGCTTTGAGGACCCAAATGCAGAGATCAAGAGGCAGAGTTGAGTCTTGCAGATTTAGTAGGTACAGTAACTGAGGCAGAAATACAAAAATACTGAGAACCAAAATACAGATAAGCAAAGTGTCAGGGAGAACACATGTGGGGAACCAGAGATGAGGAAGCAACAAAACAACAAACCAGCAAATCGCTCCCAGTCGGCAGATTGGGAGCAGGTGTGAGCAAGACCAACTAGCAGGAAGCCAAGGGGAAAGGAAAACAAGGACAAGGGAGCAACAGAGGGTAACTTAAGAACTCAGCACTTGTAGAAATAACTACAAAGACACAGAACACAAAGAAAACTTAAGAATAAACCCAAGCAGAGGGCAGAAACCTGACAATCGCACAGGAACTTCACTATTTCAGCACCATCCAAAAACATCACCTCACTGTTTGGGCTTCATATAGTATTTTAATTTTTAACTCACTTTTATATTTTTTTAATTTTACTCGTCAGCACTTCAGTATCACCTAATATGAAAAACACTTATTAAGCTGATTTATGATCCGGTCCCAAGTTGCTGCTAAAGGGCCTTTTTTATTTTTATTTATTAATTTTTTTTTTGCAGGTTGCACTGTTAGATTTTTACAGATCTGAAATGTCAGCCCGAATCAGCTTATTTCACTAATTACCAAAGAATCGAAAGCAAGCAGTATTTTTCATTACCGAAAGTCCTTAATGACATATTAATATCGCTGCTGATTAGGATTTTTTTTAATATGTACGGAATGAATGTTTGGAAGCTAATGAAAGATAAAATGGCAAAAAAATTGCACTTTCACTTGAGGAATTTTTCAAGGATCATTAAAATCTAAGTAAGGCTTTAGAATTTGCATATTGATAACATAAGTTAGAAAAGAAGTTATGTGCTAATTTCACCGTGGCTGCACACACACACACATAAACTCCAGCATAGTAAGTCCTGACCCTTCTTTTTGTTTTTCTCTCCAGATGAATCTTGCACCAACTGCTCCTTCGGGGCGATCTGTGACGCCCAGAGCGGTCTGTGCGTGTGCCCGTCCGAGTGTGTCGAGTCCCACCAGCCAGTTTGCGGCAGCGACGGCCACACCTACGGCAGCGAGTGTGAGCTGAATGTGCGCTCCTGCAAGGAGCAGATGGAGCTGCGGGTGGTCAGCCAGGGAGAGTGCAGTACGTAACATGAACACTCATGCAGCATGTCAGCAGTCATTTCAGTTCGTCACGCTTTCTGTTTTTGGGTTAGAAACAAACCGTGACTCTTACAGAAAGATTTCTGATCTTTATGTTTTAAGTCCCACTGGATTAAAGCAGGAAATGAAATATAGGATACAAACCTTAAACCCTAAACCAGTTTGATGGGGGATAAAATCTAATTTAAATGACTGAGATGGTCCTTACGGTCTCTCTCATTACAGAAACATGCGGCAGCACCGTCTGCAGCTGGGGTGCCCGGTGTGTGGAGAAGAAGTGCGAGTGCCCGCAGTGCTCAGGCGAGGCCACCTCTCCGGTGTGCGGCAGTAACGGCATCACCTACGACAACGAGTGCGAGCTCCACAGGTCGTCCTGCACGCAGAAGATGAAAATTGATGTGGCGAAGCCCGGCAGCTGCGAGGAAGGTAGGAAATGGACTTTGAAATGCTGTAATTATGTTAACCAATCATCCATTGAAGTGGTGTAATTAACTTTCCCAACTGACCTGTGGTACAGTCGTTTGTGGATTTTTAGAATGCGGAAATAACTCCGGCAGCTCGTCAGGCATCTGATATCAACACAAGTTTCTGTAAAGTCTGGGAAACATGAACTATAGCAGGAGCCTGGGATGTTTACGTTTTATCAACAAACCCCAGATAGATGCTTTATTTAAAGGCTGCAGTTGCCACATTAGCTTGTACGTTTTTTACCCACATACAGAATCATATTGAGAACCTGTGAATTTTAACGTTATATTTATAAAATGCAAACAAGAGTCTTGAAGCGGGGAACTGCAGCAGATCAGTAACTTTCTGGTCGGTCTGAGGGGAGAAAGCAGACTGATCAGGAACAAGTTGGTTGATGACATCTGATGACTGATTTGATGTACTTGAGAGATGAAGGAGAGGTTAACCATTTACAGGGCAAGTTGCCAATTTTGTCATTTAACCAATTAGATGAGCCCTTGATTTATATTACCTACTATAAATTAAGTTAAAAAAAAGTTAACAAGTCAAGAAAAAAGGTAAAAAGCTAATTGAAAAGTTTAAAAGTTAATAAGCCTAATTAACAATTATATATAGGTTTATAAACCAAAAAAATTGTAAGTGTTTTTCATGAATTTCTTTGTTATTTTTCTTAATATATTTGGGCAAGTTGGTGTTTGTTGTTATTACATTGACATTCATTTTTGCCATCAAAATATATGTACTTATTGAAAGTTACAAAGGTAATAAGGTCTTCTATTGAATTCCAATAACACTATTGGCTTGAAATATTGATTTTCAAAGTATTTCTCTGAGTGCCCTATAAAGGGTTAACTCAGTGGGCTTTGCAGGCTGTGCCCCAAAGGTCCAGTAGAATGTGAATGAGATCCGAGAGCGTTGGTACTTGGAAGAGATGTCGCACTGGAAAGCAGATAGGCAGGTGATGAAGACTGAGAACTGCTGCAAACGGGTAAAGAGATAAAGAGATTCACTGGTTGTCTGGAACAATAACAGAGTCCACATTATTAAAGATTCACAAAAAGACCCATTTGAACAAGAAAGATATTCCTGGTTTAGGTCTTTGGCTGGAATACTGTCGGGGTAACCATCCAGCGTAGAGAGATGATCCTTTGCCTCCTTATATACACGCTAGTCATCTTGATTGAGATGTATTCTCCGCAAAGATCCTCTCTGTGACAGGAAGCTCACTCACACCAGAAAAACAGCCAAACCCCAGAGACCCTAACAGCAGTTATTGGTCTGTCCCCCTGTTCTAAACAATCGCTGGTTTACTCAGAATGGTTACACAAACAGTGATAAAATACACTTCAGTACTTCAGAGTACAATTCTGTGCTGTGATGTTTATATTTCATTTAAAGGTTAAAAAATGCAGCAATAAGACATTTTTGCCTGTAAAATACCAGGATATCCTAATCCTCTGAGGATCTGGAAGTCATAGCAAGTAGATTTACAAAAACAATAATCTGGCATTGCTTGAGTGAAGGAGGCAATATCTACAGTATAAAGTCAATGAGTTGATGCAGTCAGCTTGTCTAACTTAGGTTGAACATTTTTAACCAATCTTAATGTTTGATCTGATTGAATTGTCTAACTAAAGTGCCTTGAGATGACATGTTTTGGGAATTGGAGCTACATAAATAAACTGAATTCAGGTAAATTAAAAATTGACCCGTCAGAATTCTGCTAACTAAGTAAAACTTCCCTTTAAACATTGTCTTTATGCCAGAAGGTGCATCAAAGTAAATTTAGTTTGTTGATGTTATGACAAAGATAATAATTGATAATGTTATAATGCAGATTTTTCTGTACAGTAATCCGCTAATTGCTGAACTGAGCCGATGAAGAAGAAAGTGTTCAATTTTGATTATTGAGGAGTGATTGGTGCACCACAAAAATGGAGCAAATTGACCTGCTAAACTGTTCATATGAATAAAACAATGCATTGTGGACGGTCGGTTAAAGGACTGGTAGGACTCTACATAGGGGACCATTTAGACCAAACAAGGCTTCTAAACTTACCTTGTAAACAAAACTAATTATTGCAAGATTTCGGAATTCACAAACTCCTGAAAATACATCTGCAGCTGATGCGTTTTCCTCGATACAGAAAGGTTTCCAAATGAATTGCTGTGACAAGTATGACATAAATACGTTAACCAGAGGCAAAAAGCTGAAGCAGAACAAACATGGCAGTTTTAGCTGGAATGGTCTCTATTTCATTTTGAAAAGATGAGGAAAAGAATGTTGGACTTC